ATATGAAAGAACATCTCTGAAATAGCTGTTTTAACCACTTATTTCAATGTAAACTGTTCTGTAAATTCTTTATATGAATTTAAGTCTTGCAGCCTTAGTAAAGACCATATATTACAATTCCTGTTTGTTTTGCTTTTTTTTTGTTGTTGTAATTTATGTTCTAATAAACCTTGGATTTTATGAGTTTAAAAGATTTTTCTGTCCTTCATGGCAGCACACCGTAAGGCAAAGGTGTTACCAGGTCTACCTAAAAGGACCCCTAACTTGGGCACACAGCACACCCTGCAGTAACAATTAACAATTTAAATTTATCATTGAAGGGGAAGGTGTCTATATTGATTATAATGATCTTGTGGTGTTTGAAGAGTAAAATATATAAACAAATCAGTACATCAATGAGTATTTCCTGCTTTCTCCCTCAGGATAAGGCATAGCCAATGTGTGCATCTCTATCTGAAAGCAAGGGAGGGATGTACTGTTCAGTTATTGGTAATACTTTTCAGGGCTGTACTGTAGTGCTTCATATTCCTATCTGACTATGGAGACTTCCACAGGACATTCCTCCAGGGTGGGAGACACATGAACTCTGAAAAGCATGGTGACGCTTTTCGATACAGGTATGCAGCAGCAAGCTGATTCGGATGCTTACACAGCATTACACCAGCCTGTCGGAGGAGTGAACGTGGCTTATCCTACAGCTATGTATGTGGAGTGCTTTCCTCATTTGAATTGAGGCTGAAGAGGACTTTAGATCAAAATTTTTCACTTCCAGGGTTAATGCTCTAATCTGAAAAGAAAAGTAGGATTTGCTTGCTGTGGCTGTTGGGTTTTGGGAAAATCAGAGTCCTTTATCTGCGGGGCAGGTGTATCCTGTGCACACTGACCAGCAAGAATGCCTCAAGGGCTGTGAGCTCAGGACTGCCCGGCCTGGAGATTTCAAGTGGTCATAGGCAGGAGGTAGTACAGATCCTGGAAAGTACCACAGCAGTAATTCAAGCATCTATGAGAATATGGTCATGAAATGCTTGGCTCCAACAGTATAGATGAGAGATTAGAAGAACTGCGCTTTTGACCTCTAGTGCTTACCTACTGAGTATAGCGATGGTGTTTTCCTCTCCTCAAGAAATGAAGAGCTAGCAGAGGGCTCCACAACACCTTGCACCTGGAAGAGGAGAACTGGGAAGTCCAAGCTGAATCCTCTTACTGAAGTGTGCAAGAACCTTTGGGATACCAGTGAGGGCCAGAAATTAAGTGTTTGTAACAAGAAGCCTGGAGACTGCAGCCCAACACTGCTGCACCTTGAAGTGGGGCTGATCACAATAAACACTGGTTCATTAAGGTCTCCTTGTCTCTTAAATTCTGCTCTATAATTAAGCTTACATTCATCTGACCTACCCCTGTCAAAAGGCCTGGGATGCCAGATACACTGTACTTCACCTTTTCCAGAAATTTTTGGCGGAATTCCTGCAGGTGTTGACATTAGCATTCAGTGCTTTTCCACTGATACGCGTAATTGTTAATTTCCCTGAAAAGAAATCTCCTAGACATCTTAGAAGATGAACCTGAAGGGAACCTCAAGAGACTGCCTGTTCCAGGATTTGGATTTGTTACCTCTCATTTGCTGGCTCATGGCACCAGAGTCCTCGCCCCCCCCCCAAACTTCCTGATTTTAACTCAGCGTCCTGCCTGCAATGCCAGCTGTTGCCTGCAACTGGCCGACAAAGCTCTTCATCAAACAGCTTAGCAAGCCATTTTTTTAGGCTTTGCACACTGGTTATGTTTCACAGTACTTTTGTTCATCTTTCCCGCTCTCTTTTGAATTTTCTCCAGTTCCAGGTGGTCTCCATCTCTCCTGAAGCATGATGCTCAAAGCTGGGTGTAATCCTGTGACTTTATGAGTGCCGCACAGATTGAAAGCGTGAACTCAGGTATGTCACATATTACATTCCCATTTGTACTGTGCAATCAATGTCATCCTTGTACTAGTGCATCACCTCTTGTGTTTTTAAGACCGAGCCGTGATCCTGCATCTAAACATCCCAGGACTTGAGACGTGGATTCTAATCCAAGCTTTTGAACCTGGAGCTGTTCAAACTCTTCAGCCTCATATGGCCAGACTTTTGGAGGTGGTGGGTTTTTTTGTTTTGTTTTTTTTCTTTTCTTTTCTTTTGGCAGCTAGCACCCTTAGAAATTAAACAGATTTAAACACCCATATGTCTTTGAAGCGAGTAACCAATTTTTCATCCAAGTTCAGATGTGGCCATCTGGTGGTGAAGCGTGGGCTAGGCAAGAGAGGAGTACCCGAAGAGAGGTACTCGATGGCTTGCGTGTTTCAATCCTTTTTTGGCCTGAAGTCCTGTATCTCAAGACTCTCATGCCTGTTCTTTCTCTCCCTCTGCTTCTCTCCCCCTGCTTCTCTCCCCCTCCATTATCTCCCTCTTTCTCTGGAAAAAGAATTCAGTTTCAACTTGGCCACTAGTGGGTTTTTTTTTGTCCCAGTAGTTTGTTCATCAGTTTGCCATAAACAGTCTTCCCTAACTTGCTAAGATGTGAGGACTGTCCAGCTTCTGACACTGGAAATTACTTGTGCTGCTCCAGCAAGAACTTCTTGTTTCTGTGTTGCACTTAGCTTCTTCCACGGTGAAAGCCCACTATCTCTTTTTTTTTTTTTTGGCCTGCAACTGAGCAGGAAAATATGGCATTATGGATTTGACTTACCAGCGCCCTTGTTAAGCTCCAACTGAACTTTATGGTTCATTGTTACATAAAAATGAATTATGAAGAGTTAATTTTCAGTTGCCTACATTTGAAAAGGCATTTTCTTTTGTGTGCTTTGATTAATCTCTGTCATTGTTTCAGGGAGACATTTATCCATTCACCCTCTTTGAATATCTCTTTATGAGTTTGATCTTCATGTGACAATCTGAAAAACAGGGTGTGGTTTTGTACGAACATCTAACCTCCCATTAGGCATTTTCTGTGTAAAGTGCAGCTCAATGCCTCTATTATTATCTCAGCCAAAATTCTGCTGATGTATTTACATGATGAAATAAATCTGCAGACAACACTGTTTTCCAGGAATCCATATGCATGTATCAAAGGGAAAAGGTTTTCATGAAAATAACCAAAAACTGCCTGTGAGGGAAATGCAGTTCCTAGAATGAAAATGAAACCCATCAAACAAACCCCTAGACACTTCATATCAGTCTCCCTGTATCATCTCAGCCCACCGTTTCCATTTCTGAAGGTGCTTATGTCCTTATGAGGCAATTTCTCAAACTCTTTGGCAAGTACTTTGATAACGTTATAAGAGAAATAAGATTCATTATTCCTCCAATCGATATACAGAAAAAAACTACAAAAACATTAGGTTCAGTTAGTAAACATAATAACTAATTAATAGTCACCCTTGCCAAATTTAAAAAAAAGAACAAAAAAACCCAAGTTAAAACCAAGGAGTGTTTCTTCAGGTTGATAACAACCCCACTAGGGAAGCAAAGGTCTTCTCCTTACAGTTTCAAAGAGGATGTGTTATTCTTTGCTTCCTGTCTGGTGATCGTGCAGCCTTGCAAAATTGTACTTACCTAGGGCAATAATGTATTGGATGCATGAGTAAAATACCCTTGACATTTTTTCTTTGTTTTGCTGTGTTTTTTCCCGTGATGTTGAAGACCATGTTAATGGTTTTTTATGCCAGTAAAAGCATGCAGTATTTTTCCCCTAGTACTTTTGCAGGGCTATTTTGTTTATTGCTGTTTATTAGGACAAATTGTGCAACTAGTCCCATCGAAAAGATGAAACAGTGGAAAGCACCATGAGTTCAGGAGGTTGGAGGAATGCTTGATTGCTGAACCACCTATTCTGTCAGAGGAATCAGAAGAATTTGCTGAAAGATTGACCACCCCTGGCTTATAATATAGTAATAATATTTCTCTTAGAGAAAGAGTGGATGGTTTAATCCTCTCCTGCTTTCAGTGTCTTTTTCCAGCCATCTGCTGTCTTGGAAAGAGAAACAGAGATGGAAACCCAATCTAATGATCTGCAATCCCAGTTTAGTTACTGAAGAGAACTCTTTGTGCTCTTAGCAATGGTGGAAACACCAAAGACAAGTGCCAGATATTAGCTCAGCACACGAATATGGCAGCATCAACTTTTGCAGCAGGATCCCGGGTAGTTTGTTCATGTACAGAATTGAAGAAACCCATCAGAACAATGGTGTAGGAAATCTCAGAATTTATCCACTAGGCTGAAGGAGAAGACAGAGCAATTTATATTCTGATTTGAAAAAAATAACATATGAAGAAGACAGATCCATGGCCCTAGGGAAAGCAGGCCTTCTCACGGTTCCCATTATTGATTTACTTCAGCAGAAATCGAGCGTTAAAATTTCTTTAATGCAAAAATCAGAGGTTATTTTCCATTCAGCCTACTACCGGCTTTACTTTCAAAATAATATGAAAAAAAGAAAGGTAATTAAAACTTCAGACACATTACCACAGAAAAAACTGGGAAGAACCAGACCTTAAGCATACCTTTTACATGTTATTTTATCTACTTTTTATGCTGATTTACTCTTGCAACATTTAGTGCAATAGGCTGTCCATTGCGGTTGGTTACACAGCATCAGTGGTTATGTCATGCTTGCATCAGCAGCGTCATTACGGCTACAGTGTTATCATTGCTTGACTGTTCAAGAATCTTATCAGACACTTTTCAGAGGCACTACTAGTAGCGGTAGTTTTGGAGCCTTCTAGATGACGACAGAATATGGGTTCTCTGTTTTGAGGACAGAACCGCTGACGTAACTCAGTGCAGACATGAAGCTTTGTTTTGGTTTTAAACTCTGCTTTGGCACCAATGGCCTCACAACGGCTGGCGCTACCCAGGCCAGCTGTCCGCAGCTCGGACGGAAACCCGGGGGTTAAACCGTGCGGGAGGAAGGGGCGGTTTTGGGAGAGGCGGCTTTCCCCGGCGCGGTGGAAGGGCCTCGCCGCGGTCCGGCGGAGCCCGTGAGCTGTCCGCAGTCCTGAAAGGCGGCCCCGCGGCCCCCGGCCCGGCCTCCGCCCGCAGCTTCGCCCCGCCGGGCCGCAGGCGCGGCCGGGGCCGGAGGGAGGCCGCGCTGGAGCGCTGGCATGAAGAGGTACGACCCCCTGGCACAAGGCTCACCTTAGCAGCGAGGCTGGAAGTGTTCTTCTCCCGCTGTATTTTAATTCCGCTGTTCTTCTCGGTGGTTTTCACGGGTGACTTTTCCCCCGGCACGTTTATGATCGACTGGAGGAAGTCATTAGGCAACAGGTTTCTTTAAGATCACTTAAAGAAGATGCCGGGTACAGGCAGTGAAAAACCCTTTGAAGGCAGTGACAATAAGCATGTACTTACATTAGTGCTAAATTTGTTCCTATGACTTCAGGTAAAGACAGCATGTGTAAGTACTTCTCACAGGCAAATAAACAAAAAGCACACAAATATTTAATTTTATGAAACAACAACAACAACAAAAACCCAGAGAAAACCTCTCCTGAATATTTTTGCAAATTATTTTAATTTTTATTCTATCTTGTATTTCTATTTTTATTCTACATTTCAGTTGATTGCAGAGGACAAATAACCACGTCTTGTGAATAAAAAAATCCCTGTCAAGTTCTTCATCATACTGTGATCTAGTCTACAAAGCTGGGCAAATGTGTGTGCCAACAGGCATGCTGGAAATATGCAGGAAAAAGTGAACATTGTTATAGACAGATTGGCACTAATTTGCAATGAGGTCATGCCAAAGAGCACCTATATATCCTAAAAAACCCTAAAAAACATTCTTAGTATGAGTAGTTTTGCACAAGCGCAAGCTAGACCCTTACATTAAAACAAAGCTGCTTGCTCATTGCTTAGTACTTACTCTTGCTTACCTTTTCCTTAAAATACATTCATATGGCATCATTAATATCACTAGAGTGTGTCCATGATTTTTTAGGATGTATTCGATTTTTAGTGCAGCACTGTCAAATGAACTAGCAAAGCAAACTGTGTGGACAAAGAAATCTTTGATGTACTAAACCTTCCCCCCACCCCCCCCAGCTATTAAATTGTTCAGTAAGAAGTTTTAAGAGTTTTCCAGAAATTTCCCTTTTGAAAAGGGAAACAAAAGCCTGTGACTGTTGGGATATAAACTTTTGACCACATTTGTGTAGTAACATCCTTCGTTAAAAAGACTATTTCAGTTCAGCTACCGTGCCAGATTAATTGTTGTAATAAATACTACTAGTGATGGTTTCTGTGGAAGACATTACATTCTGTTTTAATCTTTGTTAAAATCTAAACTAGTTATTTGAGACTTGCAGTTTTCTCCATAATCTGGAGGGGCTTTTATAACTTACACTTTTGAATGTCTTAAAAGTGGAACAGCCTCTTGCTGAGGTGTATATAATCTCTTCTGATAGGGAAGAACCATGATTTGTACTTTAAGTACACCCCTGGGTTGCAGGGTGAACAGGTGAAATTAAACTTCTAGAAACGGTCTGCCTGTATACACAAATGAGACATATTCTGCTCTTCTTTACACTATTATAAAACAGGAGTAAATCCACAGAATTTACTGTGAGCATTACTGTAAGCACAGCCAAATACGTCCCGATGTTCTGAAGGGGTTATAAATGGCTGGTGAAAAATAGCAACTGTGCTTACTTAAAGCGTAAAGCTAATAAGTGGTTTCACTGGAGTAATTATCTTTAAATCAAATCTTCATACTGAAGTTCTCACAGTCAGTTCACAGGGAACTATGAGGAACGTGGTTGTTAGGGTGGTGTTACCTGTAATCATCTCAAACACATGACAGCAAAACTTCCTCTTGTTTTGTTACAATGTTTTTGTGTGGATTTTCTGCTAAAATGACAGTCGTGGAAGCCGAATCTTTTATTTAAGCCAAGAGCAGGCAAAACACAAGCAAAAACCATAAGAGTATCTCAGATGCTCTTCTGCTAAGCTGCAGGCACTTTGAGGAGGGAGCACAGAACTCACACGTCAAACTAACAACCTGCAGCCAGTGACGCTGCCACCATTTATTCACCTGGCTGCTTCTTTCAGCACATGCTTCCCGTCACGGACTAGCACACCCGGGGCCCCTTCTCCTCTCCCGTTTTATTCTATTGCCTGGATGTGTTGGCCCCCAGGCCAGTAGTAAGAGTGTGGGGGAGAAAGGTAGTAGTGACAGGCTGAGAGGGAAGTGGGAAGGAAAGGCCTTACTCTTTCCCTTTCATAAGGAAGAACAGCAACTATCGGCAGTATGAGGTAGGGCAGATGTGGGAGAAAAGTGTTTTTTTCCTCCCGAGTGTTTTCCAATCAGTTGTGACCTCCCCTCTCTTCACCTCCAGTGTAGCTCTTACTTCCCATAGTACTCCTCTACCCTTCCCTATAGAGTAACCCTATGCTCTATATACCAGCAGACCATGGTGAGCCATTTTGGTAGCAGGGGTGCTGTGTACACTCCTTCTTCCCCTTGGCCTTATCCTTGTGTCTTTTCTCACTGCCATGGCTGTCACCTTATGATCTCAAACACTTGCAACCCCTTTTCCCAGGGGGCAGTGGCACCTGGCTGTGCTTGAGGTATGTTGTCTCCCCCACTAGCTCCCCCTCTTGCATTTGAGTATGCGAGGTAGCTGAGGTACTTCTGTTCAGGAATATGATTTGGAAATGTAATTTTAATTCCAGCCACGAGGGGACCTTCACAGGTTATTGTCTCTTTCCTGCAGGTTCATCTGATTCATACACCGAGATCTATACAACCATGCTGACTTCCACCAAAATACTACATCTCCCTCCTAGCTGAGGATCTGCTCAAATCCCAGTATCCCCTGCTAAGTCATCTCTCATAACTTGGAATCTGCATCCAACTTTATTTCACTGCTTAAATCCAACAGCATCTTTGCTGTGTTTACCCAGCAGCTTTGGATACCCCTTTCAGGTCATCAACTTTCTACAGACTCTGGGTTGCTCAGGAGTAATACTATGGGGTACTAGCAGCTGAGCTGACAGCAGGGCTGGGGAATAGAAAAAGTGATTTCTGCATGTGCTGATCCACAGATTCTGGGCCAGAGATCCAGGGCAGGAGACAGCTGAAGCATTGTTTGTGTCACTTCACATCTTAATAATCCAGCCACAGTATGATTTTAAAAATTGCTGCCTGAGTTACAGCTATGCTGCTTCTTAGGTAAAAGCAGATTCCTAAATCCTTTTTTCATATGGCTTTCATTGAGCAGATGTCCAGAGTTTGTATCAAAAGTCTCCAAGCCTTGCATAGAGGAATTTGGCAAATAGCCTACAAAAATTAATCCGAAAAATAAAGAGCTCCCATTTATCGCAGCAATTGCTTTCACTCCGTATAAACCTGGGTTTGGAGTCTCATTCTCCTCTTGCATGCGGTAGCTATGCACTTGGATAATTTGATTTGGTTATGTTTGCATGACAAAAAGAGGATGTGACTGTAACACGCACTAACCTGCTCACTTAATCTAGCGAGCAGCAAAGGCAGCAACTAAAACACCCAGCCGGGGTCCCCAGCCCGTTTGAAGTTGGTGACTAGCCGATGAAGCTGTCTACCCTCCCTGCCACTGCTACTCTGCCAGCTACACCAGGCTTGTCTGCTGGCCCAGCCCGGAACCGGGCCCACCCGTCGCGTTTCTTTTTTCCTTTCCAGGTGGAGCTGTGATCTTCATTTCAGCCACCGGGGGGAACCTTAGCCTTAGTCATGAAAGGCCTGTGGGCGAGGTGGGATCTTCCCTTAGGCCCGACCAGCTTTCAGGCCCATGTACCTTTCAAGTCCTGAAAAAGGGCCTTCCTATATGAAAACGTACCCGTCTTTTTTTCTCCCCCAGTTATATCCTGAAAGAGATATTATAACTACTTATAAACGTTATCTCGCTTGTATCTGTTGCATCCAAGAGAGACATGCGAGTCACAACTCCCAATTACTTTTCAGGTCGTCTTAGGTCATGCTCCGGTTGGAATTGGAGGACGTGCTGTTTCTCGGCTGTCACGCTCTAAGCTCTCTGAGAATTCTCATGTGGGCAATGAAGTATTTTGTATGTGCTAAGCAGGCCAAGTTAAACCCAAAGATCCCCTCTAGATCATACTTAAACTGTTGTCCTCGTGAAATCTTTCAGATCTGTTGGAAGTGTCCGTAGCATCTTCTTTGCCTTTGTATTGTCAAGGCTTAGATGCCCTATGGGAATGCAAACTGAAAGGAAGTAAAAATAAACAATATGTTCATGATAACAATGTTTAGAAGGGGATTTCATGGGAATGAAATAGTGGTTTTTTCGCCAATATAAACAAAGGCAGAAAGTTCTCTCTGTAGCAGGAGTGTGTGAAATGCGAAACCCCGGCAGTGAGAAGCAATACCGATATGAATCAGAATGACTGCAATAAACAAAACTTTTTACCCCTGGAGGTGGGAACGTGATCTGGTGGTTACAGTAGCAGAGAGCAAATCTGAAGCGCCCGTTTCTGCCCCTGACTCACCATATGTCTGTAGTCAACTCATTTACTGTCTGTACATCAGTTTACCCATCTGTAAAAGAGGGACACACATATCTCTATCTTGTCGGATCTAGCTCTTGCCAAGCGTCATTAATAGATGCTGACAGCCCTTTGCTGTCAGGAATGCAGGATTTCACAAGTGGAAAGTACAAGTCATTACCACTTGGCCGGGATGCCAGCACCACTCCTTTTGTTAAAACAGTTGTACACTTACAAGCAAACGTGGTGATACCTGACTGAATGAAGAATCTCTTTATTCTCCTGGTAGTGTTGAAAGACTTCGAGTTAAATCTTACACAAACTTCAGTTTAGCAGTCAACTAAACCTATCTAATCTTATCCAACCGACCACCACTAATCGATATTATTAAAAAACCTATCTATCTTATCCAACCAACCACCACTAATCGATATTATTAAAATGACATTTTTCTATTTTTATACATGTATTAATTTATTTAAATTAAATGTATTGTATATATTTTGTTTCTACCTTCATTAGTTGAAATGAAAACCTTTAAAATTATATTTTATAACTGAACTATTAGCTAATCTTAGTCCTATGCGGAGTGAGTTGGTGGTCTCAGAACCATTGCTAAGGTTAAGGTTTCCTAAATAAGGAAACCTTTTAAATAAGGTTTCCTAATCATGGACCACACATAATCCTGTAACTGCAGAATCAGCTGACAGAGCAACAGCTAAAAGAGGCTGGAAACTGAACTGTCCTTCCACGTGCAGCAGAGCTCCCTGAAGGGTTCCTGTTTGGCCTGTGAAAGCTCGCACTTAACCTCTCTCCTGTGACTAAACTTTTTCTACCTTGCTTGTCTACAGAGGGAATCTGTCACAGCTGCATAAATTAGTTAAGTGGGTCCAACCTGTGTGTGTGGACTCTCGGATATCCATTTAAAACTGGCCTCTGCATTTTCTGCTGTTATCTATAAATTTATCGCTGTGAGTCTTATAAAGCCATCAGTTATAAAATATGCTTTCAATCAAACTGTTCTGACTTTAGGCATGTATTAGGCCTACTCAGTCTTCATGTTTTGAGACTGCCTTTCTGCACTATAAAATTTGAAACTAATTACAAAGTTAATAATAAAAGCGATGACTCTGTATCTTCTTTCAGAAAGAACTTAAACCCGTTATGGTCTGCCATGAAGCAATACCCTCCTACAGGCGCTTTGGTTTTCTCTCTGTTGGTGAAAAGCTGCACCACCAACCATTTTCTTCTGTACTTTATTGCTAGTGCTTTTACATAATTTGGCAGTAGCTGTCACCCCTGCCTCACCCACCACATACACCTTGGCAGCGCCTTGGGAGAACTTCCCACAACTGCTTCGGCACAAAGAACTAAATCCACCACAAGACTTGGCCATTTAAGCTGGAAATTCAGATTGTCCAAATTCCTGGCTAGGCACCACCTAATTCTAGAAAAGCATCTGAAGACGCCTGAATTTTTATTTATGAAGTTCCCCAGCTGCCTTCCTGTCTGCTCCCGGGCATTTGCAAGCTGTGGGCTTTGTGAGCGGCATGACAGTTGCCTCAGGAGAAGGCATGTCGCGTGGTGCCTGTTGAAACAGACTTTTTCAAAGACTACCTGCAAGATCGGGCTGTAAAATAGTCAACTTCAATCGAATAATCTGAACGAATCAAGACAGGTTAACAAATTATTTATAGCATCACAGAACCACGGAGTCCCAGCCACGGCCTGGGCCGCGTTGCATTACGTGTTGAGGAAGCACAGCCCCTTTTGCAAGGAGCTCACAGCCCAAGTACCAGGCAAGAGACAACAGATGGTGAGAGACAGACGGGAGAGTACAAGGAAACAATGAGATAAATGAGCAAAAAGTAAGTTGAAGACTTCAGCATTTGGTTCCAAAATTATTAATTTTACTAATCATCTCAGCTGATGTAACCCTACCGTAGGACGCCTTTCCTGTTCCAAAGGCCTTAATAGCTACAATTACAACACATGCCGCAGCCCAGCACGGGTTACATTTTAGGCAGAGTGGGAGTTACGCAGGGGAGAAGTACCGAGGTGGGGGGTGTTGTTTGCTGAAATTCATTCAGTAAAGGGGGCTGGGGTATCTCGGCAACCTGGGGCTTAAGGCAACCTGATTAAGCACAGCTCAGCCGGTAAAGCGCTGACTGATGGAAAATTCAGGCTTTACAGGACCGCTCTGCCCTGCAGCCTCCGTCACATGCAGGCGAGCCTGTTTGCAAACCGCCGGAGGGCTTTACACGCGAGACGTGAAACCTGACCAGCGCGGTCGGTGGGAAGCTCCCGTGCCCCAGAGGCACCGAGCACAGCCCACGCAGCGAGGCGGGCGCACCGTCAGCCGCCGCACCACGCAGTTTGGCGGGGCTGACTCACTAAATGGGTCACTCGCGCACAACGACCCGGTCCCCGCGGGTTGGTGACAACTCCGTCAGCCTCCCGCCCCCGCGGGGA